GTTGTCTTAGGCGTATGCATAATTAAGGTACCCTGCGAGATTTTTTATGCACTGCTTTTTAGAATACACGGCAAGGGGTGTTTTGCGAGTATAGACAGAACCCCCTAGCCACATGAAATATTGCTGCAAAAGGAAATTTAAGTTTGTTAAATAGTGTAGTTTCAGCACAGATATGAGTGCCGGAGGAAGTTGGCTTTCTGAGACTAGCTGAATGACGTCATGTTACGCCCAGCAGTCTATTCAGTTATGAAGAAAAAGAACCTTTTTTATATTCTTGAAGTTATCCTAGGGAAATGCACTTGGGACTGTGTGATTTTCTAGCGTTATAAGTCACAGTGTTTGTCTACCATATCTGCTGATAACCACATAGGTGTGTTTATATTATTATTTCATGAAGTACAATTTTGTTCAGCCAGTGTTTTGTTTATTTGCTGCAGAAATTATTACTGAGCAAGTTTTTCCAAAATGCACAACACCATGATGCCATTATTTTATCGACTGAAATAGGAAGTGCTTCTAAGATGATTGACTCCATGCAATTTGCAACGAATCTAAGTATTTCTAGTTCTTCACAAGAGCGTCAGAATAATTTTTCATGTCCTTGAATGCAAATGCAACGTCCTTCTTCTTCAGGATTTGAAGTTAGCTGCTCCACATTGTTCCAAAATAGAAATTTTCGCTGTTCCAGAAGGCTCCAAATGAAAAATTTTCGCTGCTGCAAAGTGCTCCCAAAGAAAATATGGCTGCTCCGAAAACTGCTACAAATCGGAAGACCTCGGTAGCATTCCTCAATTCCTCATTTGTGAGCAGAGTTGCGCCGAAACCATGAAATCAAAGCCCAAGCGCTAATGGGAAGCCAGACGAGCCCGTAGGAGCCATGTATGAGGCATCCGTGTAGGCAACTCTCTGTGTAGAGAGAGGAGGGGAATGATGTTGTTCTGCCGCATGATGCCTACGTTGGTAGATCGTTAATATAAATGAGGGAAAGAGGTTCTAGGACAGACTCATGTGGGAGACCTGACGTTACAGGCAGCCGGTTAGAAGAATGATTGTCAATAAGAACTGAACTGGTAGCAATTAGTCAGGAAAGATGTGATCCATGCAAGTACGTTGGGGTCTAGATTCAACAGAGATAACTTTAGAATGAGGCGTTTGTGATGGACAGTATCGAATGCTTTAGAAAAATCTAGAAAAATGGCAGCAGTCTGAATGTATAGTCAAGGTTAGAATGTAGATCGTGAAGTAAAATGGCAAGCTGTGTGTTGCAAGAATAACCTTTTCGGAATCCATGTTGACAGGGGTGAAAGAAGTGTATTGAATCTAAGAAGTTGATGATGTGGGAGTATATGACATGTTCCATGATTTTACAGGGTACACCAGTTAAAGATATGGGACGAAAATTTAGTGGCGAGTCTCTGTTACCTGATTTAAAGACTGCAACAACCTTCCCCATTTTCCAGTCTGGTGGCAAAATGCTTGATAATAATGACTGCGAAAATGACAAAGTTAGGTACGCGGCACACACATGTTTAATGTTTATTAAGAGTTTTGAGTTGATATCATCCACGCCTGCAGACGCTGAAAGCTTAATATTTTCTATGGTCGAAATGATCCCGCTCATAGAAAAAATAATTGGGGACATAGGCTCAGTGATACTAGAGGGTGAAGAAAGCTAGGAAAATGCACTTTCGTTCATAAAAACAGAAAAAAAGTGCCATTAAAAACATTCGCACATTCAATGTTGTTAGCTGCATCACCATTCGCCTTTAGAACACCTATTGTGCGCATCTCCTGAAAGTTCGTCACCCGCCGAAATTCGCAAGGGCTGTTTTGGCAAGCATTTTATGTAACTCCTCATGAAAAAAAGGAGTGCTTAGCGTTTTGTATAGCCCTAGATAATCATCTTCAGCAGCATAATAATTGTCCCATGCTGATGAGAGCTTAGACTGTTTAGCTGATCAAAATGGACGTTTCTTCTTGTTTTTTTAATTTCTTAAGTGTATGGGAAAACCATGGCTTATTAGGGTTTGCAGTGAACATGGTTTCTGGAATAAACTTCTCAACAAGAGTGTTAGCTTACCTTTAAATATGACGCAGTTTTTTATTAACAGAGCGTGTTTGACTTATTCTTTCGAATTCGGGAAGAAAAGACGCCAGTTCATTATTAAAGGCACTATAATCGCCTTTGTCATAAAGGCGGATCATTTTAGTGACTAAATCGCATATTATAGGCAGAAACGATAAAGTCCTGTGGATTGCCTTGTGGTCACTAATGGTGCATAGATATATAATTGATGATAGGCTCTCTGGATAACCAGTTAGCTATAAATCTAAGATGTTGGAATTGCTTTCTGTGACGCGTGTTCGTTGGGATACCAGTTGGGTTAGATTGCAGTTGAGACAGAAGTCTACGAAATCACCTGCGAACTCACAGCCTACAGCTGACGGGACGCTACCACTCCAAACTATTTGAGGAAAATGGAAATCTCCAAAAACGAGTATCTCCACTCTTGAGCAACGCTTACTAAGGTTTCTCAGATCGTTGTTTAGTTTAGATGTGAAAGCTGGGATACTATGTGGAGGCCTGTAACAGACATCTATAAGAACGGTATGGGGGCAAGCACGGCAAACGACCCAGAGAATTTCAAGCACGGGAGCGTCGGTCCTGGCCAAAGAGCACGATAATTGTTGATGCACGGCTATTAAAACACCGCCCTTCGTGCGCCCGTATGGTCCTTCCGATAGAGGTGAAATCCTGGTAAGTGATCTAGCACCTCTGCATCTGTTACATCATTTGTTAGCCATGTCTCAGTTATTAGCAAAACGTTACTGCTAGACGATAACACAAACTCAGAAAAAGCGTCGCGTTTTGGAAAAAAAACTGCATGCGTTGAGAAGACTACCGACAGCAACAGGCTAGAATGAAGGTGAAGTATGGTGGTGTTCCGGGCAAGTGCGCCGCCGCTGCCTGGCTTCTTCGTGCAGCTTGGTGCCGCCGTCGAAATTTTCAGAGCAGGCACGCCGCCATCCCCGTTGTGCCGTAAAGGCGGCGCGGCGCCAGTGCGCCACTATTCGTCGTTTTTTTTTTTCTATCACGAAGCCGCCACGAATGCGCTAATTCTGCGCGATAAAGGCGCATAACATCGTACAATACTGAAGGCTCTGGCCACATCGGTCGTCCCCACATTTACCAAAAACGACAAAAGTCAGCGATTATTTTCACACCACAGTGTCCTCGGTGATTGGCAAGCGCACTGTTGATGCTGATTGAGAAGGCCACAGTTTCAGGGTAAAATTTCATATCACAAAACCTAGAGGGGAATCTGGCTCGAGTGTCTACGCGAGTAGAAGAACTTGTTGTTGGGCTATATTTGGTAGATCATTACAAAAAATTAATTTGAGCATGAACACATAACACATTTACGCACACAAACATAGTGCTGCGCATTTTTGATGCCTTTGTGTGTGTGTGCATGAATGTGCCATGTGTTTACGCTCAAATTAATTTTTTGAAATGTCCTACAGTGGGCACGTGAAGCTGATTGAACAATACTTCGGCCACCATAGCTTGGAATTGAGGAACCCAGCCTGTAAAAAGCACATGACGGCCACAAGCCACAGCGTATGTGGTTGTCTCATTTGTCTTGTGTATGTGTTTTATGAACACTGGGTTCCTAGATTCCAGGCTATGTACCAACAGGCTAGACACCAGACTCTCCAACCACAATGGGATTGATGGAAAGTAGAAGCTTCGCATCTGCTTCAGGTGAATTTCGTTTTTGGCATTCGCGGCACTCGTTCACTGAGAATAAAACCAAGTGACATGAACCTATTCTCAATAAAGACTTCCTTCATTCCTCTAAATATAAAGCTGATTGCAGGAACTCCGCGTGCCCTTGATATTGACCCGAAACCAGAACAAATTCAACTGAACGGAGGTATTATACACTGTTACGAATTCTTATCGAGATTTGGGGCTAACAAATTATGAATAAAATTTTTGAAATGGTGAAAATAAACATGCGTTTCGAACTCTGAATATGCATAATCTATTTATGGAAATGAAAATACTGTGTAGAACAGTAAATAACACATTTTTTTTTATACAAATGGCAGGCACAAAGGCGCATGCACATAAAGATCCTGAAAGCAGTGGTTCGTATAACAGACCTCTCACTTCGCTGTATGAAGGAAAATAAAAAGAAGCGGTGGGGAGGATGTACACATTTTGCTGAATTACGGTTGTCAATAGGTTTGCAATTCCTAGACGGAAGGCTAAACTCTTATTGGTTTCTTTGTGTATGTACCATATCGAATAGGGTCGAGAGCCCCCTTTAGAAACATTTATACCTACTGTCTGGGGTGTATTGAACTTGCGACTCTGTATATTTTCTGTCTCTTGCGTATCGAAAGTTGGACTGAAATATGTTGAGTTTGAGATCCTCCACTCTTTCACTTTCACTCACAAGCTTTACACAATAAATGTTTTCTCTCGTTATTGAATCACCTGACCAGGCTTGATTTTTTTTCCCCATATACTGATCATGACGTCAAGTTGGTGCATAATGTTTGCCAGATTTCCACGAGGAAAAGCATGGTCTTGAGATGCCATTCAAATACAAAGCTTTTTTCTTGTACTAAAGAGCATGCTGTTGCCAAAAATGAGACCTTAGAAATGGATTTTATAGCGGTCGCATTGGCATGGGCTTGTCATCATTGGCTTTCGTGCCATGCTTCCTAACGTGGTTGTTGTGCTTGTGAGTCATGTGTATGTTCAAGCAGTTATTTTAATACTGTTGGTGCCAACAATGATTATGGATCACATCTCTGTGAACAAAAGTGAGAGCTCAGTTATTGATAAAAAAGCAGTTATAGCGTCTTCTCAACGTACCTGGTGGTTTGCATCAGGAATGCACAAATAATTCATTCATTGATTGATTATCTCATTGTTGATCTACAATAATGTTTTATTTCATATGGTGATTTATTTGTGTGTGCAGGCCCAAATTGACGAAACCCTTCAGCGGTTGCATGACGCGAATCCTCGAAGTGGCCAGCCCGATCCTCCAGAACTGGTTGCCTTGGAGGGTAAGCCTCATAAGAACGGAGTAGCATTCAAGTTATTTTACAAAAATGGCTCAGCTATTCTCTGTATGAGCGTTTTCACGCGGTGTTCATGGCAGGAGGTGAGCAGAATGATTTTTGAAGAACTAAATAGTTTGTTGTCAGTGAAATGACTCGTACAAAGCTGACAGACTCTGATAACTTAGAAAGGCGCTCATGCAGTCTTTGTAGAGAAGGTTCGCTGTTTACACGATCCCAGTGAAGGACAAATGCCTTCATGCTTGGGAATGTTTTTGGTTTTGGGACGTTAAACCCCACAAATCGATCGTGCTTGAGAATGTTTTCAAAATTTATTCCTGCCCCGCCGCGGTGGTCTAGTGGCTAAGGTACTCGGCTGCTGACCCGCAGGTCGCGGGTTCAATTCCCGGCTGCGACGGCTGCATTTCCGATGGAGGCAGGAAATGTTGTAGGCCCGTGTGCTCAGATTTGGGCGCACGTTAAAGAACCCCAGGTGGTCGAAATTTCCGGAGCCCTCCACTACGGCGTCTCTCATAATCATATGGTGGTTTTGGGACGTTAAACCCCACAAATCAATCAATCAAAAATTTATTCCTCTACTGCTGTCTACTACTATTTATAGCAATAACATACCTTGCTGTGGTCCTATTTGCTAGATGCTTATCTAGAAAACATGCTCCACTTAAATAATTTTGCTTTCTATCTTTGAGGAAAAAAGTGACAAAATAATTGTGCATGCACTGTCGAGTCTTATGGCTGATGTTAGGGTTCTTTTTATGCACACGTGAAAGTTTTGAGGAGTTGAAGATTTCTCTGCATTACCAAATACAAAATTTACTGGCTTATACATTTGGCCCCGTGTATATTGAATTGAAAGAATTGTGAAATAGTTTGATGTGTTGATAATGCAAAATACAAAATATGTGAATTGAAGGCTTATATTGTCGCGGTTCACCGTAAGCAGAACACAGAGATGTTTAGTCTAAAAACCAACAGCAGTGTTTTATGCAGCAGCTAAGAGCAAAGACATAAACACAAACACTTTGTCTTCTTTGGTCAGTGTCCCTTTTCAGGAGACTTGTCTTCTTTGGTCAATGTCCCTTTTCACGAGACTGTTGGTGCACACTGTCATTATTGTCTGCCTATTTCGAGCATGCCAATTTTAAAGCATTGCAGGCTTTGAAACAGTTTTTCAAAAATTGTAATCGGCACTGACATGTTGATTCGCACCCAGTATAGTAAAAAAATTTGCATCACATAATTAAGGAGTAATCAACGTATCGCTATAAGTAGGTATGCTGCAGATGCAGAAAAAGGAGACAAGCGGCGGCGGACATGGCGAGTCCTTGCCGTGACATCACATCGCTGCGACCACAGCGACGCCAGTGTTCGTTGTCGGAGCTAATACCTTCGTCAACTATTGATGTCACGCAACACCAAATGTGGTATATGTGAAGGGACAGGGAGCACACTATGAGCGTAGAATGTAGTGATGTTTTACGTCACGTACATGCATGATTATCATGTTTTGATGTGTCATTTTGTCGCGTAATTTCAAATCAGGTACACTCGAACCTGGTTATAACGTGTTGGGATAGTAACGATATAGAGAATATAATGAAATTTTCCTTTAAAGCTCCATTGAGAACCATGCATTTTAAACCTCTCTGTGACGAAGTAAAATTGACAGGTAAATGGATATAACGAACTAAATTAGCCTATAAAATAGTCTAAAAAAAGAACGACCGTTATGTGTTAATTATATCGTTTTCTGCGAAGTTTGACGCTCGTTTGGCAGCGGCTCTTTCAAAACTTCCGCGCCGAGCATACAGCCACGCCCCGCGCGTCCAAGAGAGTTGTCCTTCTCACACAGCCAGCGGATAGGATTGAGGAAGCGCTCAGTGGGTCACATGACCGAGAAGTGGCGCCGCGGTGCAAAGCGATTTCCCTATCACGACAACGACCTCATCTCCGCTGCTACCAAGGCTTTTACCCTCTGCACTGAGAGAGGAGGACTCTCCGCGACAGCATTCTTTTTTTTTTCCTCTCTCTCCGCCCGCGGCCTTGAAAAGAAAGGGGTCTCTACGTGCAGAGACAAAAAATAGAGAAGCGTGGCACAGGCGCATCACAGATTGGCATTTGAGAGAGAGTAAAGAATTTGCTACTGTCTTTTCTTGTCTTTTCTTCTTTTCCTTCTTCGCACGCTGCATTGAGAGGTGCCGCCACGGGATAGGGCATGGTGCCGAGAGCATTTTCGGAGCGCAGTATATTCTAATTAACCGTCGCACATGCTTCCGCATTACAATTACAGAGCGTATTCGCCCATTACATATAGCTTTGACGGGACCTCAGCGCGAGTTTGAATTACCCGAAAGTTCAAATTAATGCGATTCAACTGAGTTTATTTTCCGTGGCTCGCATGGTCGTGTAGCGGTAACATTGGTCGCGAGACGATTTCCTTCTTTGCATGCTTATAAGTGTGCTCCCATCTGAACATACATTGCCACAAACTGTTGTAATCTATGTAACAAAAGAATTATGGCTCCCCTTCAACTTTGTTGTAACGAGGTTTGTGTGTATATGTGAAGCCAGCGAAACGGCGGCGAGTGCATTGTGAGCATGGCATGTAGTCATGTTCTTGCATGACACAATGATGTTATGCTAAAACTTTTGGAGTGGCGTTTCCGCATACCTGCCCATGTATCGAAGTGAAGCCGCAGCAGCCATATTGCTAAGGGCAGAAGGAGGCGGTGACTGCCTTGTACCGCCTGAAGGCTCTATGCGCTTGTGGCCGTGCGTTTCGTTATAGCTATTTAAACAGCTGCTTATTATTTTAGGAAGTGTGGGAAGTTGGGAGTGACTTTCTAGTTCATGTGCTTTATTTTTCTTTGACACAGCGTTTTAGGCGTGATAAAAAAAAATTTCCTCTCAGAATATTTACCCTGTGAGGACATGCAGCAAAAATATAAGTGTCGCTCACACACAGTCATAAACCCTTGGTGAATAATAGTCAGCTTCTGTGCAAACTCTTTTAATTATTCTGGGGGTATCCGCCTTTTCATGGATTGTTTCAGAAGCTCCTGAACATTCGCACAAAAATATGCTTGGAGCACTTCCAATCTTTCATCCGATAATAAGATCTGCTTCGTTAGATGGTCAATGAAATTTTGAGAACCCTTAATACATTTTAAAAGGCACCATTGATTCTGCCAAGACGTCTTACCCATCTTTTTCAGCTGTTAATTGTACCTCGTTCACCGATTACTTTTTTTTAGAGGCGAAGCTCCTCTTCCTCTTAATTTTTTTTAGAGGCGAAGCTCCTCTTCCTCTTACCTTGTCCTGCGTTACCTTGGCCAGACGGGCAGACAGACGGACGCAAGGACGGACGACGGACAAACAAACACACAGACAGACGGATGGATAGACGGACGCTTCGCCCCACTCATCATCATTCACTTCATGGATATATGCTGTTATTTTTTGCGTGTACCACTCCTTCGTAAGTGAAGTTTAGGGGTGGGGGATTTTGAGCTCCATCAATGACGGGCACTTAAGGCGAAAGTGTTTTTTTTCCCAGAATTTGTAGAGGAGCTCGTTTCCTTTTCTTGTACATAAAAAGAGGCATATCACAACATCAGAAGTTTCGGCCTTGGAGTGTAGTACTCGTGCAGATGTAAGAAACTCAAAATCCCAGAAACCTGGAGCAGGTGCTGCATTCACTACCTTTTAAAAACGAAGCGCTCACTTGTTTAAGCGCACTCATGTACTGGCTTTCGTAAGGGCGCTTGAAACTATGCAAACACGGTAGTAATGTCACAAGCCCTATCGTCTCGTTATTCTCATCGAAGCAGCATGCTACAACATGTGTACTGAACATTAGTCGTCATTCTTTATTGGTGCTTAACCTTCTCGCCTCAGAGCACACTGCCATGTGCCATGCATTATGGTGTCTTTGTAATCTTGAAACGCACAAACATGATTCATAGTGTCTCTGTGCACCCGGACACGAAAACGAAATATTTGTACACGCGAATGCAGTCGTAGTTCCAAAAATATGTGAGGAAAAGCGAGGGAAGCATGCCTCCTTACTCATAGAAAGTTATGCCCAGTTTTCACTTCATATGATTCGCACAGCCATTTGCTACGCAAGAGCGCATCATCATTGTCTCAAGAAGTGATCGCAGGCGTGTTGAGAACCATCTTGTTAGGCACGTCGGCTTCAGCCACGAAGCCCCTCCGTCACTCCAGAAGCTTTAGTATAACCTCCTTGCATGACACGCATCTCATGATTTACATGTTTACACCAGTCAAATACCTTCGTCATTCATTCACATCCCGTGATATCAAATTTAGTATATGTGAAGCTAGTGAAACAACCGCAATCGCACCATAAGCATGGCATGTAGTCATGACTTACATAACATGTAAGTCATGATGTTTATGTTAGGGTCTGTTGCTTTTGTTTGCCATGCAATCATGTCATACCACACCAGTTTTGCAACATGCCATGTGAACGAAACCACCGGAAGAGCTGCAGTACCATGAATTGTAAATCATGACATTCATGACATACATGTAAAGATTTTTATGTTATGACTAATCAAATATGTTGTTCATACTGTCATGTTATGCCATACCAATTTTGGTATTGATATCATTATTGAAACGGCCAGGTGAGCCAAAAGTCGTAGGCGGCTAGATAGATAGATACACTGAGCCCCACCGTGGTGGTCTAGTGGCTAAGGTACTCGGCTGCTGACCCGCAGGTCGCGGGATTGAATCCTGGCTGTGGTCGCTGCATTTCCGATGGAGGCGGAAATGTTGTAGGCTTGTGTGCTCAATTTGGGTGCACGTTAAAGAACCCCAGTTGGTAAAAATTTCCAGAGCCCTCCACTACGGCATCTCATAATCATATGGTGGTTTTGGGACGTTAAACTTTACATATAAATCAATCAGATAGATGCACTGAAAATCGTCGAAGTTTGCTAGGATATGCATAGCATTTA